GAGAGAGGGAAAGTGAGAAAGCAAGCAGCCAGGTACAGGACTTGAACCACAGTCCACCATGTGGGAGCCCTGTACTCTTAACCACCACTCCACCTGCCGGCACTAGTTTTAGTAGTCTTTTATATCATTAATTGTTATTGCAGTTCCATGGATGTGTGAGAGAGAAAAAAAAGGAGGATTTTCTCTGTAAAGACAAGGTTCGACATATACGGTATCTATAAAAAAGATACTGTTCAAATTCTCTGTATCATTATTTTCGTGCACATGATTTATCCAAGACGGTAGTCTGACTTAAAGTCTCCTGCTCCTAGCACGTTTTTTCCCTCCTCCTTCTATATTTCAGGCCCATGTTATTTGATTCTTAAGATTTATGAGTTTTATATGTTCATTGTGAATTGTGCCCTTTATCAAAATAAGATTTTTAAATCCCATTTAATGCACTTGCTCTTGAATATGGCTTTGTCATATATTACTCTTGCCATGCCTGCTTTAATTTATGTTTGCTTATTGCTTTTCATTTCCATAGTCCTCCTTTCAAGTATTTGAGTAGAGGCGAACAAAGATATAAAATTATCACTAATTCTCATACCCATTATAGTTTTTTCTCTTTCTCTTTTTGAAAGTACCTGCTACAGACCGCCTGTATTGGGGTTTTAAGCCAGTAATCTGAAAGTTTTGTCATTTAATCAGACAGACTAACCGGTCATTTATTTATTTATTTTTTAGACAGGGTTTTGCTATAGGGCATGTGCACTCACCAGAGAGACAGAAAGACAGAAAGTGAAAAATCACCCTCAAGATCACCCTCAAGAGAGGATGGCCACACCAGAGTCCTTTCTTCTCTATTCTCCTATCAGGACTTTGGCCACACACATGCATGTGCCTTGCATGAATTTCAAGCCACTGGGTCCAGGACTCAAACTGTGCTGGAGTCCAGTGAAATAAGCATTATGCCACCTTCTGGTCCCTGCTAACCTGTTATTTATAACAATTTTACTGTTTATTTTGTCATTTGGGTTTTAGGCTATTTTCCATGCTTAATTGCTGTTTTCTTTCTTCTTTTTCTTATGCAATGAGAACCAGATCTCCTTTTATCTGCCCACCCCATCACAGTGCTTATATTTCTTCTAGTGTTTCCCTTTTAGTTCCTTTTTGAGAATTATTTATTTTATTCTATTTATTATTATCACTATTTTTAATTTACTATTGAGTACTTATACTTCCCAGAGAGAGAGAGAGAAAAAATGAGAAAGCAAGCCACCAGGTCCCAGACTCGAACTGCAGTCAACCATGTGGGAGTCCAATGCCTTAACCATTACACCACCTGCTGGCCCCATCTCTCTTAGTTCTTAAAAATACTGTGTTTTTGGACCAGCAGATGGCATAATGGCTACATTGCTGAATTCCCATGCAGTCAACTGAACTGCTGTTCGAGTCCCAGACCTGGTGGCTTAAAACTCACACTAAGCCCATGTGCATGCGTGCCTTAGATTCTGAAAGAAGAATGGAGGAGAAGGTATGGTGGCCTAGCCATCTCCTTTGAGGTGTGATTTGTTACTTTCTGGCTCTGTCTTTCTGGTGAGTGCACTTGCCCTATAGCAAAATTCTATGTAAATTTTTAAAAAAGTATTTTCATTTGCATTTCTCCATCTACAGTAACAATTGACCTTGTTTTCTATATGACAGATGCTTTTCACACATATACGTAAATTACAACCACCACAACATAAGGAAGATAATAGTATTTTTATATGTACACTTTTTTTTTCTTTAAGATTTTGTCATAGGCATATACACTAACTGGAAAGAGACAGAGCTAGAGAGAAAAAGTGAGAAATTACCCCCCTTCCAGGGAGCCAGACCACTCTACAATCCCTTCTCTTCCATTCTCCTCTTGGGATCTTGGTCACGCACGCACATGGCATGATTTTCAGCCACTTGGTCTGGGACTTGAGCCCTGGTTGACCATGTGAGAGTCCAGCACTTTAACTTCCATGCCACCTGCTGGCCTGCTATATATACACATTTTAAAGGTGAGAAAATGGAGTGATGAGGAGGTTACGTGAAGAATGTTTATAGCTTTCCCAGAATCCACATAATAACGTGGTCCCAGGTGGTTTGACTAAGGGCCTGTCCCCTTTGCCATCCTGCCATGCTCCTTTTCCATGACCAAGAATTAATCATATGACTATAGTTATTTAAATTGAAAAAGTTAATAACTTGCTTCCCATTATTTCTCCCTTTCATACCTTTTTAAAATTTCATTTTTGATGCCGGACGTATGTGCGTGTGTGCCCAAGATCCAGAGAGGAGAATGGAGGAGAAAGGATTGCAGCGTGGCCATCTGGCCCCGTGTGGGGTGATTCCTTGCTTTCTCTCTGTCTCACTCTTGACTTTCTGGCTAGCGCACGTGCCCTACAGAAAAAAAAAAAAAAAACTAAAAAAAAATTACAAATTCATTTTAGAGGCAGGTGATATTAGCATTTGATAAAGTGTTTTCTCCCTAAGGAATCATTTGTTATGTTTGTGTTATGTAGGAATGATATTTTAAAGTCATTTATAGGTAAGCTTGTTTAACTAGACTTTATTATTGTCCTTTGTACTGTTCTTTAGTTTGATTTTGGGCCAGCTGAAGTATGTCTTCCAGTCATTATTTTCAGTAAAGATAAGGTGCTGTGTTTTCTGAACTGTAGCTTATGGGAACGTGTGTGCTACATTAGTTCATGAGCAAAAACTGGGCTGGAAATAGATTCATTGGATTATAATCATTGCTACTTTCAAATTCTAAGCAATATTCCATTTCCTCTGGCATGAGTGTTGCAAAAGGAAAAGTGAGTCAAGAATTAGTTTTTGTGTCTAGGTGTATGTATGTATAATAGGTTTATTTACACACATATGCACAGAGACCCACCCACACAGAAATACACTTTGTTTTTAAGATTTTTTTCTTTTAGAGGTTTTTGCCTTAGGGTGTGTGCACTAGATGGAGAGGGAGAGACAGAGAGAGACAGTGAGAGAAAAAGTGAGACATCACACTCCAGGGGAAATGGCTACACCACAGTCCCTTCTCTTCCAACCTCCTCTTGGGATTTTGGGCATGCATGCACACATACCCAGTGTGAGTTTTAAGCCACTGGGCCTAGGACTTGAGCCATGGTGGCCATGTGGGAGTTCAGTAAGGTAACCATTACATCATCTGCTGGTCCCTCTCATTTATCTCGAAACTGGTATAGGTAGACTCCTTATAGTTTCTTTACCTAGTACTTTTCAAATGCCTGCTCTCTGGAGAAAGATCTCCTAAACAATCTCTTTCTAGGAGGAGGGAGTTTATTATTGCTTGTGATTGTATAGGAGGTAGAATAGCGGCCTCTCAAAAATGTCCACATCCTAATCTCTGGAACCTGTAAAAGTGACACTTTGCATAGTAAACGGGTTTTGAAGATGTGAGGAGTGATTTTGAGATGGGGAGATTATCATGGAGTATCAAATTGGGCCCAGTGTAATCACAAGGGTCCAAGAAGTAAAAGAATGAGGCAAAGCCACAGCCAAGGAAGATGAAGTGTGGAAGTGTAAGCAAATGTTGGATGATTTACTCAAATCCACTAGTACTAGTGGTGTCCTACCAGGTTCGGGATTTGAACCATGGTCGGCCATGTGGGAGTCCAGAGCCTTAAACACCATGCCACCTGCTGGCCCTTCTGTATTTAATACATAATTAAATGGACTGGTATGATAGGAAAAAAATAAATTCCTACTATTGGGTCATTGAAAAAGTCATGATGTATTTTTCTAGGTTTTTCCATGCAAAAATGTGTGATGACTTTTCTGACTCAGTAGTTAGTAGATTTTTAGCTTGGCACACCCCTGGAGCCTTTGGTTCCATTTTCCTTCAGTATGCTCATGACTTGTCTGTGTTGCTTAGTCCTGTATAACTGTGTGCTGCTGGGGGTCTCTGTCTCATGTACCCCCCAGTGCTGTGGCGTGCTCTGTCTTCGTGGTCTCCATAGCCTTCCTATGACATAGTGATAGGGAGAGAGCTTTATGCTCTGCCCTCTTTCTGTCAGTGCAACTTAAAAACAGATTTCATATTATGCAGAAACATGCAGGAACAATGCTTTTCTTTCAGCCTCACTGCACTTCTCTGATATAGGAATAGCCCCATTTTAATTGCTCAGTGTCCAGGATGTATTGGGAGGATTAGATGAACAAGACTACTTCTAAGTGATCAGGAGTGATGCAAATGTCAGAGGCTGTTCCATCCTATTATGGTTACCAAAACCACGTTAATAATAAACACTCTATTTCTGTTCCAGACTCACCTTGACATCCTGGAAAAAAGCGTCAATCCCAAGCACATCTACTTCCGGCAGGAGGTTCTCTGCCAGACGTTGGGAGGGAATCCATGTCCATTGGTGACCATCACGGCCATGCCCGAGTCCAACAGCACTGACCACCTCGAGCAGTTCCGTGAGTACAAAGGGGACTCTGTGGAAGATTTGACTAAGGACATCCATTACAGCCTTGGAAACAGTGTTCATTTTTAGATAAACAGTTAGGGAGTGTCTGTCTTGGTAGAAATATACCAACTTTTTGTGGTGTGATCCAAAAGGTAAATATTGATGTCACTGTGTTGTTGAAGGGAGAGATGATGAACTGCATCCGTCCAGGGGTTGTGAAATGACTTGCTCAAATAGGCAACAGTGTATTAGTGATGGCTACTTCCTCTCCTAAAACTGAACAAGGGCTGGAAGTCACATTTTCCCTGTGATCACCGCCTTCATACTGCTTTCAGTCAGCCAAGGTTTGCCAAGGGAGGAATTGGAGTCTCGGAAGCTTGACTGAAGAATCACCTCAATAATCTGAATCCCACCTAGCTCTGTAGGGTTGTGGCTGTGAAGGCTCTAGCCAATAATAGTGCAGCAAAACCAATCCCAGGCGCCAATCTGAAGTGCACATGAGCGTGCATGCACACACACAGACACACATGCACGCATACACAGACACTCACACAAATAGACATACACACACAGAAACACGCAGATAAACACACTCACACCGACATATACACAGACATACACACCTTTTAAACTATATAGCCCTGAGCACCAGTGTGCCTGACTCATCACCAATGAGTTCTTGTCAATGGAGTCTGACATAGTTTCAGATCCTAAGGAGGCAAAACAAAACAAAACAAAAAACAGATTGAGGAATGTTCTGGAAGACAAGGAAGTTTGAGAGATGGAAGAAAAGATGAGGGCATAAAGGTCAGCTCCTTTATTCCCAAATATGCAGCCTTGCTGATGAAGTACTAAGGAGTTCAGGTGACTCTTTGGAGGATACAAATGGAATTTCTCACACCCCATCAGCATCTGACAATGGATGCTTAACAGTCTGGCTAATCAACAGCTGATTATCCCATCTGAATTAATGAGGCCCTAAAATGCTTTAATGAATAATAAGGGATTTTCCAAAACTTCTCTTCCACATTTTATGCATTTCAGAGCAATTTCTGTAACAGTCACGGAGCTTTTCCCTAGGCGGGTGAACAGTGTTTGGGGTTTGGAGGCAGTAGTCTTTTCAGGGCAGCCTTCGTGGGAGGATTATTTATTTACAAAAGTAGATACATGTTAAGTCGGTGTTTTGCAGGCTCTCTTTCTTTTGGAGAAGTTTTTTTTTTTTTTTTCCTTTACTATAGGGCGTGTGTGCTCACCAGGAAGACAGAGAGAGACAGAGAGACAGAAAGCAAGAAATCCCCCCCTGGGGCGATGGCCATGCCGCAATCCCTTCTCCTCCATTTTCCTCTTGGGATCTTGGGCATGCAAGCACACAGTGCCCGGTGTGAATTTGAGCCACCAGGTCTGGGACTCGAACTGCTGTCAGTTACATGGGAGTCCAGCGACATAGCCATTATGCTAACTGCTGGTCCCACAGGCTTTCTTTCTTAAGCAGTGAGAAGAACCTGATGTATAATTACTATATGGATGTGCTAGTATATTTCCGTATTTGTTGATGCTGACTTCAGTACTTCTGTTACTATTATAACCACACAATTCATTCTTACTTTAAAAAGAGACTTGAGACAAGGCAAAGTTTCCTAAATAACTGGGTACATAGACACACAGATAAGTGCTGCAGCTAAAATAATAATAATAATAATAATTTTAAAAAGAGAGAGGGCAAGAGAAAAGATCTTTTAATACATACTCTTTTTTAAAATTAATTAATTAATTAATCTGCTTATTTGCTGTGATTTTTCAAGCCACCAGGTTCAGGATTCAAACCATGGTCAGCCATGTGGGAATCCAGTACCTTAATCACCATGTTTCCCCAATAGATACACTCTTATATGAATCACAGGAGGCTGCTTTCTGCTCCCCTTGCAAGATTACTTACAGTGAATTATGTTCTCTATGTGTCTTTGCTGTTCTTTTCTCTTAAATATGTGCTGGTGTTATCTATTATTCACATCAGTAGGTATCATGGGTAGGAGTAGGGAGGGGTCCTCTGGGAGGTTTTTTTGTTTGTTTGTTTTTTTTTTTTTTTTTTTTTTTTTTTTTTTTTTTTTTTTTTTTTTTTTTTTTTTTTTTTGTCACTCAGGAGTGATACTCATTGAGCCAAATCTTGAGGAAACCAAGCTTTGATTTAGTTAAAGGGCTTATTAGGGCCATCTTCATGGGTGTCACCTATATAGTTGCACGGGTCCCTTGCTTAGAAGGGTCATACACTTCATTTATTGCTCTTTTGGTGCCATCTTGAAATTCCTTACAAAGTTTTAAACACCAGATCCTATGTTTTCATTGTGCCCTGGGCCTGAAAATTTTGTAACTGTTCCTGGGAATGATCTAAGGTCATAGAGCTAAAAAAGTGGCAAAGATGGGGCCGGCAGGTGGCAATGTGGTTAAGGCACTAGACTCCCATGTCACTGACCATCGTTCAAATCTCATACCTGGCAGCTTGAAAATCACTACAGGTGCATGTGTGTGCGTGCCCAAAATCTCAGGAGGAGAATGGAGGAAAAGGAACTGAATCATGGTCATCTCTCGGGGGCATGATTTCTTACTGTCCCTCTCTCTCTTTCTCTTTGATAAGCTCATGTACCCTATGGAAAAAGTCTTAAAAACAAAAAAGAAATTCCTTATAAAGATTTAAACACAAGGCCCCATGTTTTCACTGTGCACTGGGCCTGCAAATTGTGTAGTTAGTCTTGGGAATGATCGAAGGTCATAGAGCTAAAAAGTGTGAAGACTCTCCCTGCTCCCATCCTCTTTCCAAATCATGCCAGTAGAGTTCTAGCCTATTTTGTCCTTTCACTGAAAATTTTATTTGTATGAATTATGTAACTCATTGGTTTCTTTTATCATGGGGGTTCATTAAAGGACCCTCCCTCTTTTATAGATGGTTAGGTGGGGCTCAGGGTAGTTAAATACCATGGTCAGTAGGGTGCCAAATTGTTAATCTTATTATTGTTTATTTATGTTTTTTTTAGAGAGCTTTGTAGGGAATGTCATTCACTAAAGAGACAGAGACAGAGAGAGAGAAAGTGAGAAATCACCCCTAAGCGGGATGGCCATGCTGCAATCCCTTCTCCTCCGCTCTCCTCTCAGGATCTTGGGCACACATGCACATGTACCTGGTGTGAGTTTTAAACCACTGGGTCCAGGATTCGAACCGTGGTTCATTATGTGGGAATCCAGTGACATTACCATTACTCCATCTGCTGGTTCTGCTAATCTTATTTTTCATGTTAGAGTCTACACAGTTAAAAATGTGCAGACTTTATCCTGTAACATTTGCTTGCATCAACTTCCTGGCTTTAGTCTGGCAGCCAGAACTTCTCTCTCCTCTTCTGTGTCCTGCAACTGTTAAAAACTTGGTTGCTAAAACATCTCTTGCCAAATCAGCCACAGAAGTAAATATCTTCCTGCATTTTATTTTCCTTTTCTCACCCAATGGAAACATTTGCAGGGTGGATTTTTCAGGCGCTATGGCCAGAAGGGAGAGAAATTCTTAGAGGCCCAGGACCTCAAGGTCTCAGACTGCTCAGATACCAGCACAGAGCTGAGATTAGATGCTAGCCTGCAGTGCTGGGGCAGTTTCACCTGGGCTGCATAATGACATCTGTGTACAGCAGGCTGCAGTAACTACATGAATACATGCCATCGCTATGTTCCTAAAAGAAAAAACCCCGGCACAATATAAACACCGTTTACTCTCCAAAGTGCTATTAACTGCACTTGTAAATAAGAAATGAAACCGCTTGACTTCATTTGAACCACAGAATGTGCTGTATTGATTTAGGAAGAGAAAACAGCAAATGAATGAGCCAGTAGCTGAAGATTCTCCTGCCTCTGAGCTTCCCTCTAGACCATGCACTTACATGGTCTTACCAGTGTCCTTCTTCCCAGGGACCAGGTCAGCTTTCCTTCAGGATTCTATTTAGCTGTGATCTGGTTAGTTTCTGGTTTAGTGGCTGCCACTCACCCTTCATAAGGAGATATTTGTGCACCGAGAGACTTTCCTTCCACTGTGTAGGATTATCAGTTGAGTCTTATTTTAGAAACCCAAGAAATAAGAGCATGGTGATAGGGCCTAGGGGAGTTCCCTGCTCAAGGCTGGAACCCCTGGTGGTCTGGTGTGAAGTCCCAGAACTAGAAATTACAGGGGACAATTTAATTATATTTAGTTCTTCTGGCCTAGGCTTCAGAGAGTCTCCTTGAAGCATTGATGTGATTTATTTTTTCCAAAGGATTTTCTTTTAAAACATTTATATTCCTGGAAACATTTAGCTTTACTTTCTTGATAAATATATTTTCCATTCAGAAGTGACCAAATGCTGTTTTTTAAATTTTATTTTTTTATAATTATGATTTGATTTGCTATAGGGCACATGCACTCACGAGAGAGAGTGAGAGCGAGAGAGCGAGAGAGAGAGAGGGAAAGTGAGAAAGTGAGGATACAACCTACTAGGTCCAGGGCTTGAACCGTGGTCAGTCATGTGGGAATCAGTGACTTAACTTCATGCCACCTGCTGGCCCTACTGGATTGCTATTTGTGGAATTGAGGAATAGTGACTTCTTGCAATGCTCTCTGCAAAGGACTCAGCACTTTATACCTTGAGATTGGAGCCTTCAGAGCCAAAGTGTTGGCAGCCCTTCAGAAGCAAAGACATTCTGCCCTTTTCAGTGGGACAGCAAACAGGGAACTTTTCTGAGAAATTGTCACTAATGCCATTATAGAAGAGATGGACTTGAGGAAATTGCTGATCAGAGAGAGCAGTTACAAAAGGATAATGGCCATGCTGCAATCCCTTCTCCTCCATTCTCCTCCTGGGATTTTGGCCATGCATGCACACATGCCCAGAATGATTTTTAAGCCACTGGGTCTGGGACTTAAATTGGACAGCCATTGTGGGAATACAGCAACATAACCGCTAAGCCATCTGCTGCTTCCTCTAGGCCCTTTTTAAT